AAATTTTCAGGGTAGGTGTAAAGTTGATCAATGCGAGGGTACTGAAAGTTTCGTCGCGATCGGCCGCTTTTTACGCGAGTTATTCGCGAAAAACCTTAGGGGGGGTTGCATCAACCCCCCCCCCCTGTGCCGGCGAGGGGGGGTTGCTCTTTCTGTAAACTGTGCTCAGAATTGACCTAGGCCTGTCAATTCTACACCTTTTAAGTCGGAACATTTTTATGCTTCTACAGCTCTGTAGGCCTGTGGCTCTTCTTGCGAAACCTTTTTTTTTTTTGGTCGAAAATGGCAGAACATGACGTCATTCTGAAGTCATTTGCGGCCAACCTATCATAGTCTCTGGAAAAAAATTGGTCACAATGTGTAAAATGGATGCCCAGAGAGGTCCTGAAAGTTTGGTGGCGATATTTGCAGTCATTTAGGAGATAGCTACGGAAGAGGACAGGGGGCCGTTTCGCCCCCCCCCCCCCCCTCCCTACGGGGCGCGGGTTAACGCCCTTTCAACTCAGGCTACAAGGGCCCTTTTGCCACTTAAGGGCCCTTTCAACCCAGTCAGTCAAGGGCCCTTTTGCTGCGGATCCCCCCTGAGAGAAATCCTAGATACGCCACTGTTTAGAGCCTTGGGGCCCTATTGAAACCAGGGGGCCAGTTGGATGGGATGGGATCAACTTGGGTCCAACGGTGTGTAAACAGAATCAATGCGTTCCGACTGTTGGTCTGACCCTATATCGGTTTGAGGGAGCTCGGATCGGATCCACTGTCGATTTGAGGGGGCCCTATCGGTTTGAGAAAGCCCTCAAATGCCCTGAACGGGTCCTTAGTTTGTCTAAGAGAGCCCTCCGTCGGCATGACTGGGCCTCTGCAAGTGCAAGGAGGGCTTTTGTCGGTCTTAGTGGCCCCTAGGCGGCTTATATGACCCTCAGACGGCTTACGAGGCTCTCATGCGCTGTAGGGGCCTCTGACGGTCTGAAGAACCCTCATCCGACCTACGGGCCCTCAGACCGCCCTCAAAACCGACTGGCGACTTTATGAAGCTATTCGTGGGCCTATCTAACAGGGCCCATGGACTGCTTACCCCCTAAGTTCTAATATTTTTGTTAATAAATATTTTTTCCCTATTTATTTGGGCCCCCTCCAAAAAATATTGGATGCAACCAGATGGCTTTTTGGATTTTGAGGGGGTTATCTTGGGCCCCTGTGCGTTTGGCCCCCTCCTTGAGGAAATCCTGGCTACGCCCCTGAATATCGGGCAACCAGAAAACTTTTTTTGGCCTTCAAACAGCATCCAGTTTGCTTAAGACCAGAAAGGTAGTACCGGACGTCCGGCCGGACCAGAATTTTTGCATTTGCTTCTGGGTGGGCAAATCGACGCCACTGGGTGGGCAATTGTGGTGACTGGGTGGGCATTTGCCCACCCAGTGGGTATGTTAGAGGAGGCCCTGAAATAAATATGCTTGTATTTTTCGCTTCAGGCTCTGACGCCAAAATAATGAATTTCGTAGTCGCAATCGCAAGATTTGGCTGCGTTTCTGACGCATGCCGTTCATTTGTGGCGCAAAATAATACTTGGAAACAAAGAAGAGTAGGCAATATGTACCCCCGAATTAGAATCTAATTAATTCTAAACCGAATTGACTCTAATTCAAATTAGAATCCTTACAACCAAGCAACGACAAGGCGATAACATAAACAAAAACCCAAGCGTCGCTGTTTGAAGCAAAAGCGCCATATACTGCGACTTTTTTATAGAGAAGGACAACGCATTTCGGTGGGTGTTACAAGTACTGCAAGTACTGCTTCTTTTTTGCAAAAATAAAAACCTTTTTCACATACGAAAATGTGCTAGGAAATTTTCATATTTTATAGAAACTACAGTAGAAATAGTATAGATGTCGAGTAATTTTTATTTAAGAAAAAAGAAAGCTCATTATCTCCCTTTAAGTTACATCGTTTTCTAAAAAAAAAAAACGGTCAAATTACCCCAACCTCCCCTATGGCTGAATAGCCCAGCGGGGCGCGGGTTAAACGTCTAAGCCACAAGCGTCTAGTAGATGTCCTATGACTAATGACTTGTATTTCTTTTAAACGTCTAGCAGCTGGTGCATCTAGGCATTCAGGCACTCGGTATGAATGCGCAGTAACGGAATCCAGATATCTGTTCCATGGGATTACGAATACATAAATATTTATTTAACCAATGGTTATACCTAATACTGACCAAGTCTTGACTGTTCGCTGATATCGCCGTCCATGCCATTATGGCCCGACTAGGAAATTCGGTGCAGCAGGCGGAATTATGCGTTAGTGTTGTAGTAACTCGATTTTGATAGAAATGTATTTAACACACGATTAGAAATACACGATACACGAAATTCACGATTTATATCATGTATTTTTTAACAATGGCAGCATTCTTGCACTGTCATTAGCACGATTGAAAACGGATATATAGTGGTCTCAGGTCTGTGTGAAAATTAACTCATTTATGTGCATAAACGATATCCTTATGTTACATCAACATTCGGATTTCACAGCCTTACAGTGATAGTAAAAGTGTGTTTGAAATAAAAGTGAAAAGCCAGTTATTTACACCGGTTACCGGTTCAAAATGATAAGAAGATAATGGCGGTTATAGGCGCAATAAAATAATCAAAACGCTCATCATTGAGTTGAGACGATTAATTAACAGAGTTTTTCCTACGAGAGGTTGGAATACCTACCAGTAAATGTAAGCACTAAATGGCTACTATGGAGACGTTACGTTTAACAGTAGGCTCATGTTAAACGTCTCGCAGACGCAATGTGGTAAGCGTCTAAAAAGGAATCAAGATATGTAAACCTGGGGTCCACCGTTGTATTTATCGACGACCTGCGTCCTGTCTCGTCAATCAAAGAAGCGCTGCCGGCGCCCGGTCTTTCCTGGACGATTCGATATTTTGTTTTGTAGGGTTAGACCCTGGCCCTTTCGGTCTAACGAGACCTTTTCAGAGTCGGAAGGATTACGTGTATATGAATAAGGGGGAGACGCTGGTCTAGGAGGCCATCATGATGCTCCGTCGAGACCGAGTCCGTCTCGATGGACAGTCCACGCGGCACACTGCAGCCCCGCAAACGGTCACTACCGCACATGGGCCTGAGGAGCTGCTCATGTTGCATGAATATGACCGTCTAGCCCTATTCCTGGCGGGCTCCGCCGGGACAAGAAACTGGCGGGGGGGGCCGATTCGGCCCCCTCCCTTCAGATCTCAAAAACTACACATCGCAGCGACAAACGGTATACGGCATCGGATACGCACGGTCAAGATCTACAATTTTTACAAAGGTCATTTTCAGGTCAGGTCAAAGATGACGTCACAGGGGTCGAAAAAGTCAAAATGGCGGCGCTAGATATGGAGAGAGTTTTTCTCGAATAACTTTCGAATTAGTCAAGATAGGAACAAACTAAGGGCATCATCGTGATCCTCTCGTCAATCCGCATCGAATGATATATATGTTGACCTCGAAAGGTCAAGGTCAAAGGTTGACCTCAGGTCACGTGACCTCGAGGTCATCATGTATATCATTTGATGCGTCTTGACGAGCTGAACACAATGAGACCATCCACGCGTCTGTATCTTGTTCCTGTACGGAGTTATTGGCCAAAAACCTTTGGTGACCTTTGATGACGTCACATGACCTCACAGCTGCCCAACAGCAAAACAGACCTCAAGGTAGTGAAGGTTGATCGTATATGAAGTCATGCATGGTATATGGGGGGCCATTCCGACCCGTTTTAGTGGTAAAAACAGGGAGTTGATTTTTCCCCCATTGACTTATAATGGGGAGGTCGCGAAACTGACCTGACCTTAGGTCACCGATATCAAAATTCCGAGATATACAAATTGCACATACTGGTACCCTAACTAAAGCCTGAAGAGAAGAAATTGATCGGTCAAAAACTCTAGCTCTGGCGTGATTGCAAACTTTTCTGAGGTAGGGTCACCAAACCGCCTCTGGTGACCTGACCTGAGGTCAGATCAACTCAAAATTTTCAGATATGTTGCGTAGAAGCCTTTTAGGAAAAGTCAGAAAATTTGAGCTTCCTAGCTCAACGCGTTTGGGAGAAATAACCAAAAAACCTTAGGGGGGGCTCCTGAGGCCCCCCCCCCCGCCAGGAATAGGGCTAGCCCAGATCAGGAGGCAAGAGGCGTGGGGGAGAGGATAAGGATGTGACTGTCCTGAGCAGGGCTGCGGAGTCGGAGTAGGTCGGAGTCGACAGTTCTGCCCGGAGTCGGTGTCGGAGTCGGAATCGCAAAATCTTACCGACTCCAACTCCGAGTCGGCATCAATATGGCATGGCATAAAGTCGTGCCCAGCCAGTGCCCATCGCTATAGTTTGTTTGAAAATATTACGCTCGTTGATCTTTCCAAACCAAATTTTGTCGAAGCTAAGCCAACATTTCTGTTTTGAACGAGCGTTTTCTGCGAAATATCAGAAGACAACAGCTACGCCAGAATCTGCTTATAGGTCTGCATGTTATTTGCAAAGTATACATTTGCAATCTACGGTCCTGGAGGCTGGATCGCGCGAAGTATTGTTCCACAATAAAAAGATCACCGACATGAACTCTACCAATTACCATCATGATATGGACTTGGAAATGGAATGTCGGGAGTCGGAACTGGAGTCGGTTTCGGAGTCTGAGTCGATTTTTGAAGCCGTAGTCAAAGTCAGAGTCGGAGTCACAAAAAAATCCATCTACTCTGCAGCCCTGGTCCCGAGGTCAAAGGACTGTCCCCTGCCCGACTGTCGCGTCCTCTCATAAGAAGCGCCCGCCCCACCTACTGCTGTTTCTATCTTGGACACAAGATGTCGCTAAGGTGCCGCACCTGGAGACGCGGCCACCTGCGGCTATCGACCTCCTCACCTGCGTACCACACCTGCAGCCGCGCATGCGCACTGGGCGGATTCCTTCAAACCTTGTTTACAGCGGGCCGCACAGTGGCGCTGGCGCACGGTCCGCGCGCGCCGCCGGCCCATTCGTGCCCGATCGCGGCGCCGGGCGGCGAGCAGTGACGCGTCGCGGCGGCGGTGGCGGCGGCGGCATGTCGGCCGGCTGAGTGCAGTGCGCGCCGCCGCAGCGGGAGCATGGTGCCGGGGGACGGCCGTCGGCCAGGGCCCGACGGAGGCGGCGGCAGCGAGCCAGCCGACCACTGGAGCCGGCAGCAGCGCGAGGCCGTGGTGACGGCCACTGGGCCCGAGCCGCGCGTGCCCATCGAGGGCGGCTCGGACCGCGGCCAGCTGGGCCGGGTGGGCGCCGGGCCGCCGCACCAGCTGCGTGTGCTCGCCGGCCGCCTCGTACCCGGCGAGCTAGTCATCAAGGTGCAGGGCAAGAACGTGTGCGGCTTCACCCGCTACGACATCGAGGAGTGGCTCAAACACTGCTGCCGCGACGGAGGCAACTGCGTGCTGGCGACGGTCCCCGACCGGCCAGGTGAGTCACTGACGGCAGCCTGCTGAGGCACCGACCCCCCCCCCCCCCCTCCCTGCACTGTTCCGCCGTCTCAGCCGTTCGGAATTCGGACTCCGACGATCCGTTCACTCGAGTCGACGCGCACATGCCGGCCTCCCGAGTGTTTCCGGCTGTGTGTCCGGCGAACTGCGCGCGTACACTCCTGATTTGACCGATAACCGGGACCACATTATCGCCGCGCTAATGCACATGCTCTCACTCTCCCTCTCCCTCTCCCTCTCCCTCTTCTCTCCCTCTCCCTCCCCTCAGCCCGTCAGCGTATGACTCACTCTTCAAGTGAGCTCAATGGACTCGAATTCGCCATCGTTTAGCTCACTCCATCGAGGTGTCTGGGAGCTAACTCTGAGCCTCATGTGCGAGCCTTCAGACGGGCCCTGTATGCTCTGTGCAGTAGGTATGCCCACTGCAGACGGGTCTGGGGGGGGGGGGGCGTCCGGCGCCCGCCCGGCGCCCCGCGGCAAGTGCGCTCCTCCCAACAGGCCCGGCCGGCCGGCCGGCTGCACCTGTGTGCCATGCGGTCCGTGCAGTGATGCACCGTCCCAGGACAGTGACTGCACGCCGAGACATGTCCGGCCGACTGACTGTGCACGTGGCTCTGAGGCCGCTCCCTGCCGACTGGCGAGCTCGCCCGGTCAGCACGTGCCGGCCAGACGGGGTCAGACTCGGGTCACAGGGCCTCGGCCTGGTGTCGGTTCGGTATCGCTCGGCTCATGACCTGTCACTGGACCGACTGCCCGGTGACAGGCTGGGCTGATAGTGAGGGAGTATTATGCAGTGCATCCTTCTGTCGACCCTCGATGGCCCGACGGTCAGCAGACTGACCGGGACGACCCGAGTCGGTATCTGTGCTGCTGAAACTAATGGCTGTGACAGGAGCGTTACTGCACATTCGGAGAGCCGGCTGATCTCAAAAGTCGGAACGGTCTCAGAGCTAATCTCCTATGCATCGCTAACAGCTTCTCTGGGCAGAACTTCCGCCTTTTAGTTGTGAGGCAGTAGCTCTTGTTTCTTACTCTTCGTAACAACTAACAATTTACACATAGTTAGCGAATTTTTGGCTCATACTGGTTCGTAGTGATACTTGAACCGAAAGACAACACGAAACGACGCGACGGAGGAGTGTGCTTCTGTAATGGCCGATACGCTTACAGTTGCGCTTCCGGCTGATACGTACTGAGATAGCGCCATGCACGGACCTCACATTCCCTGATACGCTGTCGAAACATCGTGCTGCTACAGCCTACACCAATGCACTATTGTTGCATTAGCTGCCTGCAAACACACACCTGCATCTATCACACTCAGAGCCACGGAGATGGTGCACGGGCAGATAGCGGGCCCAGACATCCCTCAGCGCGTATCGGCGTTTATTGGGGCGGTTCGACACACCGAGCTGCCCCCGGCGTCCCCCCCCCGTCTGATTCAGCGCCTGCCAGGAACTGAATCAGCAGTGCGGGTCTCAGTATCGCCCGGCGGGTGTTGTAGCGCTCTCGGCTCATTCAATACCGCTTCATTAGTTCCTGAACCGGGGCGTGTTGAATTACACCGGCTGCGGTGGTCGAAAAAATATTGAGTTTCTTCATGACGGCCTGTGAGAAATGGTATCTCTCGTTCATATACCATCCGCGTTCGATCGTTACTCAATATGCCACAGAAGCATAGACCGGTGCTCCAACGTTATTCCTTATACCTACTCGTAGATTGACGACAGTGCTAACACTGACGGCCAGGCGCTACCGGCCACATTCGCTAGACGCCAGCCACTTTTCCATTTTCCTTTTTACAAAAATATATTTAAACGGCAACTTACGTCATAACTGTGACATGGGATCGCTGCGGCTGCAGTCCGGGTGCCCTACCTACTTATCTCTGAACTCTGAAGTGTATGAGGTAGGTATGCCCTCGTCGAACGCTCATTTCATTTAGAATCTCTCACCTTTCACTACGTCCTCTGTGGTCCACAGCAGGCGTAACGACATCTGCTTACCTTTACTTTCTAAATTCTCGCCCCGTTATGCCCATGTCAAACCGTTTTCCTTCATTGTCATGCATGGCTGGCGAATTCCGAACATGATTCATTACACGAATGACACTGAAACTGAAGGAAAAAGGATGACTTTACTAACAGTTCACGCTTTTTCTGCACCGATTAAGGCCTTGCATGTTATTGTCCCCGCGCCCAAATCGCCGCTCTCTGTGCCATTATTGCCGCTTGCCGCACAATTATCACCGAGACAGCTGGAATGGCATGCAACATTGACAGCCAGTATGGCTGTAGGGTGTGGACTGTAGAGTGTGGACTGTGGACTTCTCATGTGGACAGTCAAACGAACAGGGTTATGTCCTCGCGTACTAACTATTAGGTATGCAATGTACATTTTATATGGTGACTTCTATGACATGAGATGTCTGGAAATAAGCGACACCGGCTGAATTCACAATTGACGTGCCGTTGATTTCTGTGATCGAGAGCATGGGTGGAGAATGTTTGAAAAAGTTACCCCGGCCGGCGACCGATAGTCGCGGGAAGACGATATACTCACGTTGTTCTCAACGGTCATCATCAAACCCCTATTCTGACGCATGGAATAGGATGTTGTGTTTGCTCAAGGATGAGCGTCGTATCCGACACCGTATTATTCATAACATTTTTGGAATGATCGAAATGGCAATTTCCTTTCATGTTATTATTTCTTTTTACTTAGACTTGCAATTTCACACCGAACCCAAGCCAAACCATATACCATTTTGAGTACCTAAATGTTGCGTTTTCAGCTTTTTATTGTGTCTCAAAATAGCTACAAAAAGACAACTCACCATAGTAGAAGTTTTACAGAGAAATTGACAGATCGAACCAAACAAAGCACTAAAATAGGTCAGTGACATCCACGGGCGCAGCCTTTTTCAATGTTGGGCGGCTCTCATAAGACAAACAGGGAGTCGATCCAGGAATATCGACCTGTCCCGGTCACGTAGCCCAGTCGCTAGAGCGTTGGACTCCGCGTGGCGAGAGCACGCGTCCCGGTAACAATAGTCCGAGTTCGAAGCATGATGGCCGCTCGGTGTTTATGAGCACCCTGACGGGTACGCTCATAAACGGATGTGGTTGCGGTTGGTGGCAGGTCAGTCGAAGGCAATGAGGTCAAGCAGTAGTTTTGAAAAAGTGCGCCGAAGGCGCGCCAAAATTTCGAAACTGAACAGGATTTGAGAGCAATCTTGGCATTGGCGACCACACGCGGGTCTTAGGGTTGGAGATTATGGCAAGTTAAGTAAATACCTACCTGATTTGCAATATTACGCCCATGGAAGTCAACATTCGAAGAGCGTGAGTTTTCTTTTCTCGTATGGAGACAGCTACAAGAGGATTTACAAGAGTAGAAAAGTTACCCCGGCCGCGCCGGGGTAGGCTGAAAGTTACCCAGGCCACGGCCGGGGTGGCCGGGGCAGGTTCTCCACCCATGATCGAGAGCATTGGTATGTTTAGCCCGCGCACCTGTGGGGGTGATAGTCGCCCCGGACATTCCCCCTGAGTTTTTTTTCGTGAATAGCGAAAATTGCGGTGCGTGGCGCCACGAAATTTGGCTTCCCTGACCTGACCTGTTGCTTCAAATTGACATAGTGGCCAATCCTTTGAAAGTGGGAGGTCATAACTTGCGCACAATGCGTGAAATTGTTGGAGCAGCCAGGTGGGTGACGGCACGTGATTGCCTGAGGCGGTGGGGGGTAAAATATTTTCGTCATTTAATGCTCAATGCAATCGCTGCGACTTTATACAAGACCTTCTCCTCGTCGTTGTTCCTTGCTTTCAACGACTGGTCCCCGAGTGATGAATATCCTCACGCAAGATAGGATGAATGGAGCTAGCAATTAAGCCCAATAAACATATCGAAAATGTTACAAAACACTTCTTTTGAAGGAGATGAATTGAATGGTTTAGGAGCCTCACGAAACATGTTTCAGATATGACGCGTCAAACAAACTGACGCATAAAGACTGTGTTCAAAAGTGTGAGCGGCAGCTCCGCAAGCACTTGTTGGCAAATGAAAATCGTAGGTATTACTCAGTCGCCATAGCAACAAGTAAGCGTCACAAATTTCGAACACTATCTGAGTGCGCCAAGTTCGACTACATCGAGGACGATGGGTGATGGTTGCCAGCTGATTAAATTAATGAAACGCGAATAAATTCACTTTTGTTTAAGATGGCGAGTAAAAATGTGTTTCTTAATTTCAAATATCATTGAATTAGTTTTTGTATATTTATATCTTTGTCACCGTTTCAGAGCCACATTAGATGATCGAGCCGAGCCCTTTGGAAGTTGCAGGATTTTATAAGGTCATGTGTGCCTACAACATGTTTATCTCGGGATTTTTCTATCGATGGCCTAAGGTCAGGTTAATTTCTTGACCTGCCCTTCCCATCATAAGCCGATGAGCAAAGCATCACATGCTTTATTATTATTGCTATTATTTTTTTTAAACGTGTAGTAATGACTAATGGCCAGTTATACCTCTCGCCCGTATTGGTGTTTTGCCAGCCGCGAACGTATAAGGGGGGGGGGGGGGTCCATTGGACCTCCCCCTTGCCGTTTGGCCCCTGATCGAGCTAGAGTTTCGCTTAAAAAACACGAGTGTATCGCCCGTGACGAGAGGAAGCCGATTGCACCCCCCCCCCCCTGAGGTTTTTCGGAAATAGTGCAAAAACGGCGGCGCACAGCGCCGCCAAATTTTGGGTACCTTATGGGGCGAACCTTGCGCATCTTTTGATAAAAAAAATTGGCCGGGTCATGTCAGGTCACGGAGTTATGACGTCACAAAGGGAACAGCCTCCGGCCGGATTTTCACAAACTGAGTGCCAACGCCCGAGGTTTCCTGCCGGTGATACGGACATCGGTTGATGGATCGTGATGAAACTTCCCATGCATGTTGGGGCAAGTATTGGCTATCACATGGTATAAGAAA